CTAGAGGGTGTGACTTCAATTTTGGGGGTTAAAATTCAAATTCATAGGGGGGGGGGGGCTAAGATATAGTGACCTAGCTAGATACTAGTGCACTCTAGGTCTTTCACTAAAATATTTATTTGAGGGGTTGAACAATATATATACAGCAGAAAAATAATCATGTCATAATTATACATTGCTTACATAGAATGGGAAACTGGTGATACTCTTTCTGTAGGTCAATCTGAGCCTTCCCACTAAACTTGCCATCAATGTAGGCATGAGAGGTCATGGTGTTGTCTCATTGAGATTTTTCTTCATACCTTGATTTCCACCTTACATAGGCAAAAAAATACAAAAAAGTGTGAAAATATACACTACAAATTTGGTAATTCAAACTCTGAACCCTACAATATGTTGAAAATATTCAGCAGTAATAGAATTCATTAATAAATACAATTTTTATTTAGTTTTAAGATTTCAACCTAGTAGCTTAAGTATCAAGCTGCTCGACATCAGACTTACTAAATAAATAGTAACACACACGAGACAACATGGTAATCCAAAATTAGTATGGATTAATCAAACAAATAATTGAAAAAATAAAAAATAAATAAAAAATAAATAAAAAATATTGCCTAATATTTAAGCGTAGTAGTTAGTTGTGAATTGATAGGAGTGAAATGAAAAAAACACTATATTTTGTCATGAGATTTTTGGTAATTTTGGTTAAAAATATTTATCCTATTTTCTATATGATATATTAAGACGACTCAACTAGAACTTGCAGAAAATAATATGTATCATTTTATTGCATTGCATGTTATTTAGTGAGAAATTGATTGTAATTTAATAAGTGAGAGACACACATATTATTCAATTAATAAAAGAAATCAATGTTCTCTCTTTAAACAATTCATGAGTCATAACCTCAATATTCGTACATACAAAACTTTTTTATATTGTATATGGTGCATGGAATTATATTTATTTTTTATACATAACGTTTTGCAAGTATAACTCAAGTAGTATCCCCCCCCCCCCTCGCAAGGTGACTAGGGAAAAGTCTTCCTTCCCTTGATCTTCGTCGGTGAGTCAGTGGATTTGCCTTCCCTCTACTTGCCACTCAGGCTACCACTGGCGGGGAGGGGAATCCTGGTGCCTCGACTCTGACTAGTAGATAGAATAGGATTTTAATCCTCGCAAGAGCAGCACTGGGGCAGATGGTGATGCTTCATCTTCGAGTCAGTCTTTCGGGCTCCGATCTTCCTCCACTTCGTTCGTCGGGACAGATTAGACGGAGCTTCGGCGTAGCTTCCTGCCGGCTCCTCAGGCGGTGAGGTTAGGGTCACTCGCTATGTGTGTACGACGATGAGATTTGGTTTAGGTTGTTCATATTGGTTCAAGAGCTCAACAATGACAACCGCGGGTCCAGGGCGCTGCTCCTTAGGGGCGCGTGCACGAAGACTTCCCGGCTGTCATTGGCAAGGTTAGATCAGCTTCGGTAGGAGAGGCGATAGCGGAGCGTCGATATCTTGTTCTGATGCTGGCGGCATTGGTCGTTTAGTAGTTCAAAGACATCAGTGGGAGGGGGGATCTGCATATGTAGCTTGCTACATGGGTCGTTGCGCGTCGTCTTAGCGTTGCACTACTGCTAGGGCCTGATGCACCCCAACCAAACAAAAGCTGAATTTTAGATATTTACTGAAACATCAAATATATTTTTACAAATAAACAAAATCAAATTTATCACAAATTGTAAATTAATCTTACCTTTCTAATCTTGAGTAATTTAGTTTTCTATAATGACTAATGATAATGACCATTTTAAATTAATTTTATATTAAATATACTACTAATTTATTCAAGAGTTTTATAATAAAAAGCATGGACCTATTGAGGTCTTGACTCATAGTTATTGGGTTAGGGGCATGTGATATATTTTTCTTTCGTTACAATGCACCGACTCTTTTGCTAGTTTATACTAAAATATGCTAATTTATGCAAGAGTTTCTACGTTGCTCAACAGCCAAGCACGATCGGTGCTGCAGGAGGGGTGGTCGCAGCAACGCCAGTGTTGCAGGTTGCCTACGGTCTGTGCTGCAACTGTACAGGGATCTCGTCGAGGTTGTTTTAGCATATGGTCGGTGTTGCACTACAAAATCCTGTTGACGGCTGTAACATGTGGCGGATGGGTGTTGCAACAACAATAGCATCGCTGGACACGCTGCAATATTGCTCGGTGAAATCGCTGGACACGCTGCACTGGAGTGCCTAGCATTGCACGAACTAGTCGCCTGTCCCGATGTCAAAAGTGCATTGCATGCGCAGAAAACGGATGGATGCAGTGCCGACCTGACCACTGTCTAAACCCACACCAACCCACCTAATATTGCTCAATCGATCAAAAGCTCAGTTCTCTAGCTCATATTATGCCACAATTGTCTAACTAGGATACCGGATCACTGGGTAGTGCACAACTTTGCCTCCGTAAGTTCCAGCCTCAAGAGTCAAGACGAAGCAGCATTAGTGCTTAGTTCTCCGGTTGTTCTCTCTAATGTTGAACTGCTTTTTTACCGCCCTTTATACTCCGTTTGACATCTTGATCCGGCGCCATCCGATAGCTAGCTATGAGCTAGTGAGCCGATCTGTGCTTCTCCCTAAAGTGAGTATATAGCAGATCGGTATGTTAATCTTCTAGACTCTTATCCAAAGTTTACCATCAGTGATCAAGAGACTTCTACACTAGAGAGTCCAAAGCCATGACGCTGTGTGGATGAGTGTTGAAGGGAGACTACTAATCACCTCATATTATGCCACAATTTTCCAAGTGGTTTGACTACTCCGGCAAACTGGCCTGCTCTTTACAATCATTCACCAATGGAGTATAAACTAGCAGAGCTTGTCATGATCATGCGCGAGCCACTCGCGATGGCATGCGCGACAACCTTTGTGTTGTTTAACTCTTGGAGCAGTCGCAAAAACAGTTGTACAATAGAGGCAGAAGTTTGGCAAGCACTGTGCGTGCGCCACGCCAGACACAGCCGTGATCAGTGCTAGGACAGCTCTACGTCAAGACTTTTCACCCGTCTAATCCTTTCTTGGAACTGCCTAATCCAATATTTAATCAGTTTTGCTAGAACTCATCTAGATGAGATATAATTTGGTCTCATTCATCTTTTATAGCCATTGGATGTGATGCTATAAGATGCGTGTGTGCTGACGTGGGTTATATCTGCTCTTGTTTTCAAAGTGAATGAGACCAAATTATATCTCATCTAGATGAGTTCTAGGTACTCCCTTAAATCACACAAGCTTTAGCGTTAGTACTTGCTTTATTCCACAGATGGACGATGCAAGTTGTTAAATCACAAAAGGTACGGAGGTGGAACAAATTAATATGAAAAACATACCCTTTTTCTTCCAAAGAACAAGATGGAAATTATTCCACGTCGCAGAGAGGTGAAGAGCCAAGACAAAGAAGCAGCATTGACGACAATGCTGAAAAAAGCAACAAAGTTTGGGAGATCCCCATCCATGCATGGATTCCAAAATCCAAATTAAGTATATACCCTTTTCTTTGCTTAGAGTTAAAGTTCACTGTCACTAACAAAGTAGTAGTACTGATTAAGGCAAACATGCCGCCGGCCTAATTTGTTGACCTAGGTCAGGCTAGCTAGGAATGGGCAGCTGCGGCGCTGTTCACACCTGGGCTTAAGAGTAAATGAATTTTTACATCTTATAATTTGTAGGGTTATTGCTTAATTGATTTTTAATGTTGTCGCTAAGTCCAACATTAAACTCCATAATGCGAACCTGACCCACATGGCTACATGTTAATTGTGGCTTTTGAAATCGTGTCCCGAGTTGGAATGCCGATCGATATATTTTTCTTTTCAGCATAATTTTTTTCGATCTGGTAAAAGTGAAATTAGTACTATATGAGTAAAATGATGCATAAGTAGTGTAGACACCGGACAAAGCAATGGTTTATACAAATTTCAAGTGGCTGATTCTCAATTGATTTTGATCTGGGACACCAATTAAGCTATTAGGTTGCTCCCGATGTTCAATGTTGGCGTCGTCTCTTAGTTCGTCGAATCAGGTGGTTATCTACTCCCGATGTTCAATGCCAGAGTATGTAGCAGATAATGAATGAAGAGATGATGAAACTGTCCCTTATGGTAGATATGGTCTCTATGTAATCATTCAATCAAACTCAAACAATCTTAATAAAAGTGGAGACAGACATATAAGTGCCACCATTCCTATCTTTTTACCAAGGAAATAGGAATGGTGGCACCGAGAGTGGGGTTTTTTATCATGCACATGATATCCACCGTCCAATGTTGTTTAAGGTTCATATTACGTTTCTGGTTTTTGACAATGGTTGTCTCGTGTATAAAATCATGTTTTTGTTACTTTTTTTGTTTTAAAATGTATCATAGCGATTTGTTGGGTACCAGCAAATCCACACAGAAACAAGTTCACTCATATTCGTTGGTACGCAATGAAACCTTATGATGCATTTTAAAGCAAGAAAAGGTCACTAAAAAAGTAACGCGCTATAGTGTTCTGAGCAACGTCTCGCTAAATAAAATTAGGGTAAAATCATTCATTATAGCGTGATATAGCTTCGCTAAATTGAATTTTAAGGACTGCGCTTGTGATACTACCATGCTATTTTTTCCTTAGAAAAACTAACGTAACATAAATTATGTAAGAGTATGTAATACTGTAAAACAAACAAACATTACAAAATTCCAGAAAAAATAGTATGAATCCCAAAGCAACGAACGACGAATGCATGCAAGGTATGGTAGAACATCATTTGGCTGGTGGTGCCACCTCTGTTAATTGGGCACAGCGAGTCAGCAACATAACCGGAAATATCCCCTATAAATACCTCGGTGCACGTAGCTAATTAGCTATCCTAGCCGGCACACACTACACACCACACTACATACTCAAGTCAGAAACTTCTCTTGTGTAGTGTACGTAGCTAGCTCTAGGCATCATCAATGTCGATGACATCATCCAAGCATGTCTTCGGTTCCTACGGCATCCTGGCGTTGCTCTTCTTCGCCGCGGCTCTTGTTACAGCGGATCTTTCCGCTGAATTCTACGATGAAACCTGCCCTGACGCTCTGGACATCATCGAGGACGCCGTGAGAGCCGCCGTCTCCAAAGAATCCCGCATGGGCGCGTCACTGCTCCGCCTCCATTTCCACGACTGCTTCGTCAATGCAAGTGTCGTCATAGTTCATACGCTCGTCACCTTCATACGATTTCTCTTTTCGGCAGGACTAACCATTGACCGGTGGGCTTGTACAGGGCTGTGACGGGTCGGTGCTGCTCGATGGCGCCACCGGCGAGAAGAATGCGGTGCCTAACAAGAACTCCCTTCGCGGCTTCGAGCTGGTCGACGACATCAAGGCGCAGCTCGAGAAAACATGCGCCAAGGTGGTCTCCTGCGCCGACATCCTCGCCGTCGCCGCCCGTGACTCCGTTGTCGCGGTAAGCAGCACCATACAAGCTTCACAGTTCAGATCAAAACTCAAAACCACGTACGTGCTTAATTCTGATATGAACTCCGATCAACTGCAGTTGGGCGGGCCTACCTGGGACGTGGAGCTAGGCAGAAGGGACGGAACGACGACGAGCCAGGACGCCGCGAACAGCGACCTCCCGGCGCCGACCTCCGACCTCAGCGCCCTGACCAAGGCATTCTCAACCAAGGGCCTCACCCAGAAGGACATGGTGGCGCTCTCCGGCGCGCACACCATCGGACAGGCTCGGTGCGTCAACTTCCGCGGCCGCCTCTATAACGAGACCGCGCCCAGCCTCGACGCGACGCTCGCCACGTCGCTGAAGCCGAGGTGCCCGTCCACGGACGGCACCGGCGACGACAACACCTCGCCGCTGGACCCCTCCACGTCCTACGTGTTCGACAACTTCTACTACAAGAACCTCCTGCGGAACAAGGGCCTGCTGCACTCGGACCAGCAGCTGTTCAGCGGCGGCGGCTCGGCCGACGCGCAGACCACCGCCTACGCATCCGGCATGGGCGCCGGCTTCTTCGACGACTTCCGCGACGCCATGGTGAAGATGGGCGGCATCGGCGTGCTCACCGGGTCGAGCGGGCAGGTCAGGGTGAACTGCAGGAAGGCCAACTGAAGTAGAGTCAACTGTGCCAGGCTTCTCAGTATGGTGATCATGTCAACTGTCATGTTGTGTGTGTGATGATGAGTTCTGCTTCCAACGGTTGCAGTACTATACAAATACAATGATAACAAACAAGGAATAATAAGATCACATGAAGCTGCTCGAGTGTGGATGCATCTTACTCGATTTTGTGCACTATATAAGTTTGATGTTCTGATTTTAATTTTCTTCGAGACGAATCAGATCTTTCAATTAGTGTGCTGAAAGTTCGAAGAATTTGCCAACGAGCTGGGCCTAATTTGTGCCGCGCTACACGTTACGGAATTGGACGGTCTGTCAAAACTCAAAACTCAAAGTGGAAGCACGGCCCTGTCGACTTGCCTAGCACATAGGATACGGCCAACTCCTGGTAGTTTCTAAAATATAGTGTCTTAAGTTCTGATTAGTACCACATTGCCTGGATATGAAAGAAGAGTCGGTGGGGAAGGATACAAAAGAAGGAGCAAGCCTTCACGACAAGTCATACCTTTCTCGGTCTTTTGGCTATGATCAAATGTAGTACATGTTCTTATCAATTTAATATCTGACTAGACAATTGCCCGTGCGTTGCAACGGGAGTATAAACATTCTAGTAGATTAGCCCGTGACGGCGCGTCCATTATTATATTGACGCGCAAAAATATTAGCAAATTTTTGTATGCAATCGCCATGATTTATCTGTCATTTTATTGTTAAGCATTTATTTGATAAAAATTTAATGACTTACCAAACAAAATATGTTTTTATTTTGGTAAGTCAATAAAACATGATACAATTGGTTCTATTTTAGGGAGGATGGATGGGAGAAAAATCAGAGATGAGAGAAAAAAATAAAAGAGGAGATGGAAAGAGTGGAGACGGAAAGAGCGGAACATATACAAGGAAGGTTGGACGAAAAAGAGGTGAAGTGGGAAACTTATGTTCTTTTTCAGTAGTAGTAGAGATTGATGTGCTAAAATCTTAGCAAGTTTTCTTTATGCAATCGCCATGATTTACCTATCATTTTAGTGTAAGCACTTATTTGATAAGAATTTAATGACTTACCAAATAAAATATTTTTCTATTTCGGTAAGTTAATAAAAAATGAAACAATTGATCCTATTTTAGGTAGAATGGATGGGAGAAAAATCATAGATGTGAGGAAAAGGTCAAAGAGGAGAAGGAAAGAGTGGACGAAAAAAAGATGAAATGGGAACTTTATGTTCTTTTTAAGTAGTAGAGATAGAGATGGAGAAGAGATTATGAAGAAATTGATGCACAGAGTTGGAGGTGCCTTTACACGGGTTTCAACTTTAGATATTTCCAAATTTCGGGTGTGTACATGTTTGTATGCCTTTTATTTTTTACTTTATCTTTAATATGTATATGGTGTGCAACATCTTCTCCTTTATTAATCCCATTTTAATTAGGTGTCAATTGACGGGCATGACAGTCCGGAATTTCATTTAATGGAGGCATGCATGCCCCTCCTTTAATTTCGGCATTTGATCTTTTGTTTCCCAGAATCCTGGATAATCAAAGCCCACGATAATTATTAGGGAATCAATTAGCGCCATGACAACCCACAATTCCATTGAATGGAGGCTCCTTTATTTGTGGCAATTGAATCCATTTTTTTAATTAGAGCCAACCTTCTTTTATTGGGGCGCTCATGTCCTCAATTATCGGGTCTTTCTCTTGACATGTGCAGTCAAGGGCACAAACAGTAGAACATAGCAGGCCCAGTGGCCCATTCAAGGGATAAACAAAAAAAATAGAAACAATGCGCAGCCCACGCACCAGGAAATATGTATTGCGGGTTGATTTTTAGAATAGCGAGGTACTTTTTTGCAAAATGTCACGACAGACTAAGAATACATATTTGCTTTATTATTAGGTAAAGATATGTGGATTTACATGTCCACATAATATTAAATTATTTTTTGGTGGGAGAGGATCCACATGTAGCTTGCTATAGGGATCCACGAGTATCACCCTAGCGGTGCACTACTCCTAGGGCTAGTGCACCCCAACAAAATTAAGGTGAAATTGTTATTATCTCTATAAAAGTTAAATTATTCTCAAAATAATATTCATTTAGAAATATTTATTAAACCATCAATATTCTTTACGAACATAACTATCATAAATTATTTACTTAATTTTTACACATCCAAACTTGAAATTATAGAAGACTCATTTAGAGACTTATTAAACCAGGGACAACATGGTGGATGAAGGTTCAGAGAACAGGTAATTAATCGGCTCGATTGGTGAGATTTTAGTGCTTGTTGGTTAGCTAAATTTTCTCTTTCAAATTTTCCACACCTGGATGGAGTGGTGATGTTGTCCATTTTTAAAATACTTTTCGAATTGGATGTACTAATTCATGCCCTATGCAAACATAATATCTCCAACTATTTTGACCTGAACGCATTTGTAACCAAAATTGATGCCCTTTTAAAACTAAATCTAAAATTAGTATATATTAAATACAAATGGCATTCTCTCTTTATGATTTACATGTTTTTTGTTAGGGTTGTCAATCAAAACACCGTGATATTATCTCAATGAGGCTGGTCACGTTTGATGTTGACCATGTATATTGTGTGTGCCTGGTGTATTTCTAGCTAAGTTAATACAAGTATTTCGACAAACCGTCAACGTAAATTTTTGCAACAAAGCATTGTCTTTTCATTTTCAGTGGTATGAGGTAACATGCATGTTGCTAATTTGGTGCTTGAATGGGAACTATTTACAGTGTGTACATTCCTGGACCTGTCAAAATATTTTTATTGCAAACTTCTAATATTCAGTGAGACAAACTATATGTTAGGTATAAATTGCAGCTGAATTAACTTTATTTACTTTCACATATTTGGTTCTACATCACCTACTAGCATAGGCAATACACATATGGTTATAGGCTTATAGCACATAACATACATTCCACATTATGGTACCATAACTCTTAATAATAACTACAAAAATTTGCCTTGCAAGTAAACTCATCTTGGAATTTCCAATGAATGGATGAACTCCTTTTCCAATCTACGTACTCTAGTTCCTTCGCCACCATTGTTCACCTTCCATGGCTGGTCTTTCAAAGGACTCTGGCTCACTCTTATTGTCTGAGAATTGTGATGGATATTTGAGCTCTGCACATCTTCAAGTATTGTTTCAACTTCCCTCATTGTAGGTCTTTCTTACCCTTTTAAGCTTAAGCATGCATGTGCAAGTCTTGCAACCACCTCAACATCTTTAACTACTCCTTCAAGAACAATTTGTGTATCTAGAATAGCTAACAGACGATTATCTCTCATTAGTGATACAAAATGTGATGCTAGGCTTGTGGCTTCCGATGAATGAGAAGAAAAAACCGGTGTAACCCCCGTTAGTAGCTCTGCTAAGATGACACCAAAGCTATAAACATCACTCTTCTCCGTCAGTCGACTAGTGTAGTAGTATTCAGGATCAAGGTAACCATAGGTTCCTTGGACGACTGTAAGTATTCCTGTTTCATCTATTGCAATTGACCTCGAAGCTCCAAAATCCGATACTTTTGCTGTTAAAGTATCAGTAAGTAGTATATTGGCAGATTTGATATCTCTATGGTATACTGATATGGAAGCAGCTGAGTGTAGATATGAAATAGCCTTGGCAGTTTCCAATGCAATCCTCAATCGATCTTTCCATGATAAATGGTTCTCAAGTTGGCCATGGAGATAAGACGAGAGAGTTCCATTTGATATGAACTCATAAACTAGTAGAGGAACTTCTGTCTCGAGGCAGCAACCAAATAGCTTCACCACATTCCTATGGTTTGTCTGTGAAAGTATGACAACCTCATTTATAAACTCGTCAATTTCCCTCTGCACGACATTTTTGGCCTTCTTGATGGCCACGACACGTTGATCAGATAAGATGCCTTTATACACCGTGCCATGCCCACCGCCACCAAGGATCCGATTATGGTCAAATTTGTTGGTTGCTTGCTCTAGCTCGTGTAAGCTGAAAATCTTCATCTTTTCAGCTATATCTTTGTTTGAAGAGATCAACTGTTGCAGAAGCAATCCATGGTTTTTCCTAAAGAACTTTTGTCTAAACTTCTTGGCTCTTCGTTTCTTGAGTTTTTTCATGACTTGGGCAACACCTAGGAGTGAAAACAGTAGGCCAAAACCAACAGCAATTGTTGTTATGGTAAATGGACCTGCAGAAAACAAACGTAAGATTGAGAACAATATTTGTTGTCTTCACTTCAAGAAGTCAAGCTACTACATTAAATCTATTTCAGACTTCTCAAATATGCCATGAAAAAGTTTTCTTGTAATAAGAATATCTACTAGACCATTGATATAGGAAGTACTTTACACGCGTTTTTTTATTTCCTTTGTTATCCATGTCTGAATGATCTACAATACTACTAATGCTTTGAGTTAGCATTAGAGATAATTATAACTGAAGGATCAAGCAGCTAGGTCCTAGCAGTAGTAGTATTAAAAAAATCAAACTTTCTAGCAATACTTATCAATATTTTATTTCAGGGAGAAAAATCTAAACTCACAATAATTGATGAACAAAACATGAAATTTTCTCTTTGCACTTATCACCAACGAAGCCCTGTATTGAGTGTTTTTTTGTACCTGCTAAGTTAATGATGCTTTTCTTTGCTGAGCATCGGTATGTCCCTTGCATATTGATACAGGTACCATTGCAGGGATAAACTTCTGGTTGTAGGCACTCATTGATATCTGAAGGGAAAAATACACTGTTGGAACGTAGGAGGCTTTATATATCAAATGGAAAAATAAACTAAGATAGGACACATATGTTCGATAATTCATCCTGGAGCCCGGGCTCATCTGCTCCCTCTCAGCAAAAAATTCAAAAAAATACTAGAAAAATTCAAAAAAATTCAAATTTTTTTGTGGTGGTAAATAATTTGACACGTGAGGTGCGCCCCAAAATTCAACTTATTTGGACATCTGAGTAGC